TTATGCAGGTTGTTTTATTTTCTGAAGTCCTATGGACTAGATTTTTTTCCATTACGACAAATAATTTGATAACGTTTGTCTTCTTCACCTTCGTAATACCTCATTCCAAAGCATTTGTTCTGCTCACTATTGATAGACTATTGTATGCTGTGTGAGTATGTCAAAAACCCTCCTAGTAACCCCCTAAATATAGGAAACAGAGGGAATTGATTGGATAATCTGACAAAGAAGGACAGGAGAATGAGAGGTTTGCTATCTCAAAGCAAAGACGAGGGGTATGTGTTGTAATCATTAGAATTAGACTGTGCCAGAGAACAAAACTGAATCACGTCATCATGTTACCTGTCACTTTTGTTCTTCCCAGTGTAGTTGTGGTACATGTTGTGACTCTGTGTGTCATCCAGGCACCATGGTTGATGCAGACTGCCCTGTCACAGGTTTCTCTTATGATTCAAATGGCGTGGTGGACATTTGTTCTGGTGTCACTCAACTGGCATTTGTCAATAATCTTCTGCCTACCTCAAGAAAGCCCAGATCATGCTCTGGTCCAAGGTTCAACAAACTATGGCACATGTGCTTTTGCATGGCACTCAAGGCTCCCAGAGCCAAACAGGCTCTGGCCTATCTGGAGTCTCAGTGCGACTTCAGATATCGACAGGCATTTTGTGTTAATGGCCGTTAATACACAACCTAAATTAATACTATTCTTTATTGCTCTGTTTTTGGGTGACTTAGGTTTGCATGCTGAAAGCACAGGTCTTCCTGACACACCTAAAGTGCAACTCCAAAATAGAGATAAAACTTCACTTTTATTCCATGTGTTAAAAGGCAGTACAATCCAGAACAAGAAGAGAGAACAAATAAAAAAGTAATAAAACAAACCAAACATGTTTAATGCAAATGAATGCATTTATTCATAGGTAATGCTAAATGTTATGATCAACAACATACCTCAATGATCTTAAATGATTTGATATTATTCCTGGGGTAACACAAAGACACTCTAGTCAACTCTCTCAACAGTCTATGTTACTTAGAATGTCTTTTTAAAAGTAAGGTCATTCTAATTGATAACCTGTATAGTTATCTTACTAGTATCTAGTCTTGCAAAAAGTCCTCTCAAGTGCTAAAGACACACTGACCAAGTTATTTTATCCAAATGAAGCATAGAATCACACAAAAACACAGGCAAAGATCACCTTGTATTTTGTATCCAAATATCAATACAATTCCTCCCTTACGATCGCTTACAAACCCTTAACCCATGACTTTTAGGCCTCAACCTCTTTTCCTCGTTAAGTGTTCACAATTAATATATCAAAAATACTGATAAGTCAAAGATGGATTAATTCTAGAGAGGCTTCTATTTCCAATAAAAAGCTAATTTCATTGAATTAAAAAACACATTTCTTACATAAATGATCTGTAGATTGAATCACAAATGAATCATATATTAAATTATAAAATCATATATTAAATAATTAAATTGCATGTATCTTATTGAAATGTGGCACATGCATACTATTCTACACATATGTGTTGTTATTATTATTCTTATTGCCATTTATAGATAGATAGATAGATAGATGGACGGACGGTCTGACGAGCAGACAGACAGACATGGACAGACGGATCATATTTATCTATAATAATTTATTCTAATGAAAACGTAAGGTAATGTAGAATGCATTTTAGGAGAATATGAAACATCGTAAAATATATAATTATGTTTCTAAATTAAGCATTAAGGCTTTTAATATCTCATTTAATTTCATATGGTAAAATTGTCATACTAAGTAGACTATTGATTTCCCTTTACAAATTAAAGGCACATGACTTATTTCTCAATACTTTATCAGAATTAAAATAATGACCTTCCCTAGTCAGTAAGAGAAGAGAAAATCGACCAGATAGAAAAAAAATAGCTTTTATGTGAATCTGGACCTGACCTCTTAATGGTGTAATTAATTAACCATTACAGTTATATAACAGCAAAAGGCATGTATCTGACCTAAAAACACTAGCAGGTTCATTTTCCTTTACTGCCTGAAACTAAGTAAGAGAATGGTTTACAACATGAATTCCATAGAGAATGCATAAAATGTCACTTCTGATCGCTTTCCTATACTCATTAAATATACACACAACACAAGCTCACTGACTCTACTCCTCTCTATGAAATACCCCAGGCTTACAGAAATAGCAATGGAAAGCATTTGCACACAATGCAAGAAAATTGTCACTTGTGCGAATAGCATTTTGGCTCAGTGCATTTTTATATGAATTATGCATTATTCATCAAATGTCAGAAAGCATGGTACATTCATTAACATGTATTGAGTTTGTAATAAGTAGTTTTTTTTTAGTTTAAAATTAGAAAATTTACGCAAAATGGACAAATAAAAATGTGCGCTTATGTTTTGGGGGAGAGTTACACTGCTAAATATTTTTTTTTTGTTCTTGCGACACTGATGATGCATGTTGAAAGCTTTTAAATGTAACTATTACTGTGTTTTCCATTCATATGATTGGGGTTTGTTTATTTTTGTTTAAAAATGAGGAAACGAAGCAACACAAAAGCTTTCTGAATATATTTGCAGATACTTAGTGTCAGGGATACAAAACACTTAAATTAGGGGAACTGAAAACCAAGTTCACAAATTTGGGCTGAAATAGCCAAAACCTAAAAATAATCTATTTGAAGAATTTTCTTAACTCAACATTTTAATTTATCACACTTGTTTAGGAAGTAAATACGTTTGAGTAATGCATTGCAGAACACAAAGAATTAAATTAAGAGGAAGGTAAAAAAATAAATTAATATAACATTGAGCAATAGTGATGTCCTGAACGGTTCGCCGAATGGTTCGCAACGGACTCATCATTGAGTAAACTTTGAACCTGTACTTCACAGTCAGCAGACACATTCCAGCCAATCAGCAGCAGACCCTCCCAGACCCTCCCACCTCCTGGACAGCATCCATTTTGAAGTTGCATTCTTAGTGAGCTGTCCAGGAGGTGGGAGGGTCTGGGAGGGAGGGTCTGCTGCTGATTGGCTGGAATGTGTCTGCTGACTGTGAGGTACAGGGGCAAAGTTTACTCAATGATGAGTTCGTGGCGAACCGTTCATGGCAAACCGTTCGTGAACCGTTCGGTGAACCGTTCGGGATATCACTATTGAGCAATTATAAGACTTTACTTTTTACTTTTACTTTGATGTGATGAGAGTATTATTGCCATACTTGCTTTCTTTAGCACCAACATATTAATCGGAGATGTATAATGGGTAAATGGAACTTATTAAAGTTTAAACTTATAAATGAGCTTACAGCCTCAAGGAGATGCTGTATAATTGTGCAAAAGGTGAAACGAATAGTTTCATTGCATCTAGTATATTAACCCCTTAAGGACACATAATGGAAATATTCCGTCATGATTACATGTTATTCCAGAAGTTGTGTCCTTAAGGGGTTAATAGGTTGTAAGGTCTGTTGACAATACACATAATAATAAAAATATGATATATGCTGATTATTTTAAAAAAAGGAGGTGAAGGAGATGTAGAATGGAAAAAGGTAAGGAGATAGGATGGTAGTTAGAAAAGTTGGGTCATGGACAGATGATTGGATAGATGGAGTACATGGAGAGGGTGGATGACCAAAGACGAGAAGAAACCTAATTTTCAGTCACTTTCACTCTTCAATGAGAATAACAAATTTAGGATGGATGGTAGAAACAGGTTTGAAGGTTAGGCGAGTTATTTAGAATTAATTATGTAATGGCTTGTTGAATCAACCTACGTTTGAGTATAGTTGTGGATAGTGATTGGTAGAAATAACATACTAATTAATTCATTAATTAATTAATTAATATTTAAAAAGATGTAGAACATGTTGACAATGGAGATTAAGAGTTTTGCAAAGCAAGGGAGAGAGATAAACTGGAAGAGCACAACATGAAATTAAAGTGAGAGTAAAGTAAGAAACAATAAGCTCAAAGAAAAATAGATCACCACCACCAACACTGCAAAATATACTGATAAGCCAAAACATATCATCTATTTGTAAACACTAAAAATTTTTACCATTGGGACCACCACACCACAATATTGTCCATTTCAAAAATTTTACAGCCCAAACATAATATATGTCCATTGATTTTCACCTTGCGAGTTTCATACAATGTTCAATCTAGAAGCCAAAGAACAAGTAGTGATTGGAATTATTTTTGTCGTAGTAGTCAAGTGTGTGAAATAATAAAAGGCAGTAACAATATTGGGACAGGAAAATAATAACATTTTGACAATTGTCATGGCACTTCCCTCCACTCTTCGCTGTCAAACCCCGGACTGGCCAAACAATCCCACACAATCACCAGACTAGACGTGCGCCCGCCAATCATGAGGTTTCTTAAAGGGGAACGAAGTATTCATTAAAAGGGAAGTACCTAGAAGGCAGGTAAGACACTTAAGGGGGTGTGTTCCTTCTCTCCTCTTTAAACCTGCTCATATCTCATACCTGTGCTCAGTATTCAGTGCTCCTTGCAGTGATCAGTTACTCCTTGCTCCTGCTGTGAATATCCGGTACCTTAACTTTGGCTTGTCTCCAGTTTACGATTCTATGCGGCCTGACCCAACCTATTGCCAGCATGACCTCGTCTTTGCCTTATCCTTGCCTATACCTCGCTTTGGACATTCTCAGTTTATTACTGCATTCTGGGCTGTATCTACTAAACCGTGATACAATTAGAGGTTGAATCAGATGAAGTCTACAACTTGATGTAAGCTTCTGTTGCTCAGACACATCTTTGTATGAGACAGGAATATTAAGATTATTAGTTAACGGTTTTAATATCATTATCGGAAGAGTTAGGAAAATTTAGTCTATGACATTTATTTATTTACAGTTGCAAGAAAACGTATGTGAACCCTTTGGAATTATATGGATTTCTGCACAAACTGGTCAAAAATGTGATCTGATCATCATCTAAGTCACAACAATAGACAATCACAGTCTGCTTAAACTAATAACACACAAAGAATGAAATGTTGCCATGTTTTTATTGAACACACCATGTAAACATTCACAGTGCAGGTGGAAAAAGCATGTGAACCCTTGGATTTAATAACTGGTTGAACCTCCTTTGGCAGCAATAACTTCAACCAAACGTTTCCTGTAGTTGCAGATCAGACGTGCACAACGGTCAGGAGTAATTCTTGACCATTCCTCTTTACAGAACTGTTTCAGTTCAGCAATATTCTTGGGATGTCTGGTGTGAATCGCTTTCTTGAGGTCATGCCACAGCACCTCAATCGGGTTGAGGTCAGGACTCTGACTGGGCCACTTCAGAAGGCGTATTTTCTTCTGTTTAAGCCATTCTGTTGTTGATTTAGTTCCATGCTTTGGGTCATTGTCCTGTTGCAACACCCAACTTCTGTTGAGCTTCAGCTGATAGACAGATGGCCTTAAGTTCTCCTGCAAAATGTCTTGATAAACTTGGGAATTCATTTTTCCTTTGATGATAGCAATCTGTCCAGGCCCTGACGCAGCAAAGCAGCCCCAAATCATGATGCCCCCACCACCATACTTCACAGTTGGGATGAGGTTTTGATGTTGGTGTGCTGTGCCTTTTTATCGCCACACATAGTGTTATGTGTTTCTTCCAAACAACTCAACTTTGGTTTCCTCTGTCCACAGAATATTTTGCCAGTACTCCTGGAACATCCAGGTGCTCTAGTGCAAATTGTAAACGTGTAGCAATGTTTTGTTTGGACAGCAGTGGCTTCCTCTGTGGTATCCTCCCATGAAATCCATTCTTGTTTAATGTTTTACGTAAAAATATGTGAAATTGAAAAATTGTGTAGGTCAGCTTTTACTTTGAATTCACTTTGAATTCTCACTCTAGAGAATAACCCTGATGGTCTTTACTAAAGACACAAGGATGACCAGTAGGACAGTAGACAACTGCAATACAAGCAAAAAAGGTTGAAAAGACTATTAAACTTATGTTTAAAGGAGGAGAAACAGATAGATAGATAGATAGATAGATAGACAGACAGACAAATAGATAGATGGATAGATAGATAGATAGATAGATAGATAGATAGATAGATAGATAGATAGATAACTATGCCTGTGGACGGTGTGAAAATTATTTTAGACTGAACCATTTCTTAAAAAAGAAAAGAGAAGAAATCTGCACATATGGCAGTTCGGCATGGCAGAATTTCAGTAAAGAAAAACTGATTTGGTAACTAAATCAGGGTGCGAAAATGGACCAATCAGTGTACTGCAAAATATACATATAAATATAAATATTATGTCTATATTTTACAGCACACTGATAGAAGCATGTTAGTGCCATTTAATTCACAAATCAAGTGAGAAAAAGTAACCAATAGAGGAAAACCCAGGAGGGGCAGTGAACAATCTATATTTACATATTTATTAAATATTTGTTATATAAATATAAAAAATATTTATTTTTTACTGCTCCTCCTTTTTTCCCTTAATTGCCCATTTCTCACTTCTTTGAATTACCCCCATCACTCATCTTAATAAAAAACGACATGCTTGTCTATTGCGCGTTTCTTTTGTTTTTTGACTCTGCTAACTTTTCGGCTCAGAGTCTAAGAATGTAAAATATAAAATCTATTGAAAGGGAAAAAAAGTTTCTGTAGCATCCTGGAGGTTTAGGTTATATTTATCTTTTTTCCCCACACACCGTAGACAGGGAGGTGAAGTGACTCCAAATTAAAAACGCGAATTGTGCGAAATATTTTCAGCTGGCTGAAGTAAAAAGGAAAAAAGTGAGAGAAGATGAGAATTGATCTTAAAAGGATGAAATGTGGTTAAGAATAGAAAAGCTGTAAAGAGAGCAATGTAATATCAATATTGATTGCAATAATATCAAAATGGAGAGCAGAAACAAAGGAGCAATGTTTGTTTGTGGATATTAATAAAATCAAAATTTACATAATATTTCATATATTTTCTCAGAAACATCTGGGCCTACCTACATCGTCAGCTGTGTTTAATTTGGAAGGCCTGCTAAAATGACTTCAAAGATTAAATGGGCATCTACATCAATTTAAATAAAAACCAAAATGTTATTTTAAAAAATTGCTATTGTTGGAAGGAGACTGCTCCAAATATGTGAAGATTTTTTAAAGTTTCTAGAACATCTGGAAGATATGGTTATCAGATATAGACATGACCCTTGTATTGCACTGTTGCACTGAAGTGTACGGAGTCCTACATGGGACAGGGTAAAAAAAAAAAAGTTTGTAGCACAATATACTTACATTGTGGGCACAATCTACTAAACTGTAGCAGCACGAGGTAACTATGTCCTGGGCAGACTGGCTCCAGTGTCCATCGAGATGTGTATCCTACTGAGATTGGCCACCTTCATAAACCCTCCTGCCAGCTCCCATCCTCCTTGTTCTAAGTCTACTATATTAAATGCATTGGTAGCTCTGTGTCACAGGAAAGACGGGGTTCCGAAGCTTACTGAGCATGGTGGGGGAATAGACATCACCGGAGCTAGCTGAGGCAGCAGGGAGGTGGGTGGTGGGTGCAGGGAGGTGGGTGCAAATATAAGTCAAATAAGGTAATGAACATAAGATAGGGAATATTTGCAATCTTCCCCAAAAATCCACACTTTACAAAATGGGAGAAGGGTAATATGATTCATGATACAAACACAAAGATAAAGCACCGCGCTTACAGCAGCAGTGGCTTAGTATCCAACAGCTTAAAATACATAGTAAAAACTAAGAAAAATGTTACCTGCGCTCTGGCCTAGATCCCCATGTGCATTAGAACAAAAATGGAGGCTCTTTAGTTCTATTCTAAATGGCCATTTGAATATATAAGCTCACCAGCCACGTCAAGGCAAGCCTCAATAGGTGAGTTCCTACACTAGCCATTAGATATGCTGATATCAGCCAAGAGTCTCCAATAAGACAGGAAGGGGTATTTTATAAACCCTTTAACATTTAACCCTTTATAGGGCTTCTGCACATACAATAAACTTTGCTGATATCAGACAAAGTGAGACAGAAAGGGGTGTTTTATAAACCCTTTAACATTTAACCCTTTATAGGGCTTCTACACATTCAATAAACTTTGCTGGTATGGCCATTTAGAATAGAACTAAAGAGCCTCCATTTTTGTTCTAATGCACATGGGGATCTAGGCCAGAGCGCAGGTAACGTTTTTCTTTGGTTTTACTATGTATTTTAAGCTGTTGGATACTAAGCCACTGCTGCTGTAAGCGCGGTGCTTTATCTTTGTGTTAGTATATGAATTTTGTATCACACAGCTATGTTACATTGCTGCCAGCCTTCCCACGTTTGTCTTATTAAGACTTTATAAGTATGTAGGGGCAGCACCCCTTCCTGTCTCATCAGAGAAATTTGCCTTTTAGCCGATACCAGCAAGGTGATTTGTATGTTATAGCCCTATTCAGGGTAAAGTATGTAGGGGTTTATAAAACACCCTTTCATGTCTCATTAGAGACGTCTATACTTTGTCTGATACCAGCAAAGTTTATTGAATGTGTAGAAGCCCTATAAAGGGTTAAATGTTAAAGGGTTTATAAAACACCCCTTTCTGTCTCACTTTGTCTGATATCAGCAAAGTTTATTGTATGTGCAGAAGCCCTATAAAGGGTTAAATGTTAAAGGGTTTATAAAATACCGCTTCCTGTCTCACTGGAGACTCTTGGCTGATATCAGCGTATCTAATGGCTAGTGTAGGAACTCACCTATTGAGGCTTGCCTTGACGTGGCTGGTGAGCTTATATATTCAAATGGCCATTTAGAATAGAACTAAAGAGCCTCCATTTTTGTTCTAATGCACATGGGGATCTAGGCCAGAGCGCAGGTAACGTTTTTCTTTGTTTTTAATATGATCCATGAATTTCAGCAACTACAACTGCTATAGAAGAAAATATTCTAAAGACAGTGAACTGCAAGGACTCTCCTGGAAGCTATGGTTAATTTGTTATACAATTTGTGGGCAGATGAGTTGATGCTTCTATAGACCTAGCCAGTTACAATGCCCTGGAGTACTACACTAATTTTAACATGGGAAATTAACATATTAATTGCAAAACGTACTTATTAAACCACCCCGTGAGGCTCTCAACAAATGGATAAACTAGTTAGGCCACTCTTGATCTGTTGAACACCCCAACTCTATATGCACAGATGCCCAATCTGACCTAATGTCTTTCATTTCATGTTCTAAAATATTTCTTTCTATAATTTGTAAATAGAAAAGAATTATCCATTTTATATTTCCTGTTTATTTCCATTTTAGAGAGAAAAAAATGCATTTACAATTACATAGAAACATAGAAACATAGAATGTGACAGCAGGTAAGAACCATTCGGCCCATCTAGTCTGCCATCTAAATACTTTCATTAGTCCCTGGCCTTATCTTATAGTTAGGATAGCCTTATGCCTATCCCACGCATGCTTAAACTCCTATACTGTGTTAACCTCTACCACTTCAGCTGGAAGGCTATTCCATGCATCCACTACCCTCTCAGTAAAGTAATACTTCCTGATTTACATTTACATTACATGATTACTTACATTATAATTCCTTGAATTTTACACAGAACCTAAAAGTACAGTAAACAAACTATTTCTACCTGCTCCAGTTTCAGTATCATTTATGTAGATGCTCAATGCAAAAAATACACACTCACTCTGTCACACTGTGTCTCTTGTTGAGGATCACCTATAAAACACCCTGATTATCAGTGTTGCAGTGAAAACAGCTTGCTAAGATTGTAAAATATGTGGTTTACCTAAAAATATCTTTATACTTTCTTACACAGCTACAGGTCTCACCACTAACCCCACGTTTACATAGTGGTCAAAAGTGTAAACCAGATTAGGTTGGGGAATACAAGACTGAATATAACCTTTAACAGTTAAAAAAAAAATACAATGTTGGGTGTCACAATGCATCACCAGTGGCATATGCACTCTGCACATCTGGCATGCAGTTTGCTCTATCAGTTAAATGAAGATATATATGTGACATGCGACAAATGACATCATGCAAACCACGCTTTAAACCTCATGCTAGATTCTGCATACACATATGTATTTTGCAATACACTCACATTTAAAATAGAGCTCTGTAACATTTTCCAGACTAGACAGGCCAATGTCTGAAGTTGTAATACATAGTCCCAATATTTGTGCAAGACCTGTCTTACAAAACATCATCATGGAAACCTTGTCCAGTGACTTCAAGT